ATCTCTTTGGACCCCCTCGAACCATGAGCTTAGGAGGCAATTATTACGCCTTAGTTATTGTCGATGACTACTCCCGTTATACATGGACCATATTTCTTTCTCACAAAAAGCATGCACCTCTATCTTTTCGAAAATTCACTAAAAAGGTTCAAAATGGAAAAGGTGTTAACATTGTTGCCGTAAGAAGTGATCATGGAGGAGAGTTTGATCAAAGTGGATTTGATACCTACTGTGATGAACTAGGCATTGCACATAACTTCTCAGCCCCAAGAACGCCTCAACAGAATGGCGTCGTTGAGCGGAAAAACCGATCTCTCAAAGAGATGGCGAGAACTATGCTTAGTGAGGCTAACATACCTAAGTACTTTTGGGCGATGCGGTGAGTACTAGTGCTTATATTCTCAATCGTGCGATTATAAGACCTACACTCAATGCTACTCCGTATGAATTGTATAAAGGTAGAAAGCCTAATCTCTCACATCTTCACATCTTTGGTTGCAAATGTTATGTTTTAAATAATGGAAAAGATAATCTAGGTCCTTTTGATGCCAAGTCAGATGAAGCCATTTTCATAGGATACTCATTGACTAGTAAAGCATATAGAGTCTTCAACAATCGTACATTGGTTGTTGAAGAATCTGTGCATGTTGTGTTTGATGAAAATAATGCTCGATTGTCGAGGAAGGTATCTTGTGATGATATTGCAGGTTCACTTGAGAAAAGGAATCTTGAAGAAGGTGAATCTAGTAAGACAAAATCTGAAAAACAAGAAGATGTTGGAGAAAAAGTTGAGGACAAGAAAGATGAGCATATTGCAAATGATTTACCACCCAAATGGAGAACGTCAAGATATCATCCCCTAGACAATGTTATCGGTGAAATTTCAAAAGGGGTAACTACTCGTAGCTCATTACGTAATTTAGTTAATCATATGGCTTTTGTTTCTCAAATAGAACCATCTACCATTGATGATGCCATTAATGATGAGTACTGGACTATGTCCATGCATGAAGAGTTGGATCAATTCAAATGGGTATTTAGAAACAAACTCGACGAAAATGGTATTATGACTAGAAACAAAGCTAGGCTTGTAGCTAAAGGCTACAATCAATAAAAATGTATAGATTTTCATGAGACTTATGCCCCTGCAGCGAGATTAGAAGCCATTAGATTACTACTTGTGTATGCCGCTACTATGAATTTCAAATTGTATCAAATGGATGTCAAGAGTGCTTTCTTGAATGGTTTTATTCAAGAAGTGTATGTCGAACAACCTCTAGGATTTGAGGACTTTGAGTACCCAAATCACGTGTTCAAACTGAAAAAGGCTCTATACGGACTTAAACAAGCCCCAAGAGCTTGGTATGAACGTTTGAGTTCGCATCTATTGGAGAATGGATTTCAAAGAGGAATGGTAGACACCACACTTTTCATTAAGCATAATGCTCTTGAAATGCTTTTAGTACAAATCTATGTTGATGACATTATTTTTGGTGCTACTAATGATCTTATGTGCATGTGAGGAATTTACTAAGATTATGCAAGGGGAGTTCGAAATGTCAATGATGGGAGAATTAAATTTCTTCCTCGGTCTTCAAATTTGACAACTTGAACATGGGACATTTCTTAGCCAAACGAAGTACTCAAAAGAACTTCTCAAGAAATTTGAGATGGAAGATTGTAAAGAAATGACTACCCCAATGAGTTCTCAATGTTCACTTGATAAAGATGAAAGTGGTAGGTCGGTTCATGTCAAACGATATCGAGGTATGATCGGTTCATTATTATATTTAACCGCTAGTAGACCTGATATTATGTTTAGTGTTTGTATGTGTGCTTGTTGGGGACTTGTCGTGCGGTCCAAAACAAATTAAAAATTTATAAATATCCTTAACTAACCCCCAATATAATCAAATAAAAACTATAGCTAGGGCAAGTAAGGGTCGATCCCACGGAGAAAGTTTATACTTTTAAAAACCAATTTAGCATGCAAATACATTGTCACGAAAAAAACAAACTAACTACTACACATATGATAAGACTTAAAAAAAACTTTTAACTAAATACATATAAAAACTTATAAATATAACTTATATAAACAAAGAACTTATAATATAACTTAAACACAACACAAAGGGGGGGGGGTGGGATTGAATGAAAAGTAAATATTTTTGGTTTTTATGTATTTTCTTATTTTTTTGATTAAATGGGGGAAAACAAGCTCTAAAGATATTCAAATTCTCCAACTAAAGTAAACCCAAAAAAACACCACCAAGAACCCGAAACAAAATGAAAAAGAGAACAAACACAAATCAAACATTAAACGTATAATAGGAACGTAGACAAATATAATGCATTGAATGCGTGAATTCTTATCTTTTTTAGTTAGTTTCCGGCTCAGCTAAGTAAAGGAATTGGTGCTATACCTCCTAACAGTTGAGAGGTGTGCCGGGCCTCAGTACGTTAAGTTTCCGGGCAAAACTTTATATGGAATCTTGGGGTTGAGAGATAAGTTCGTACTCTTGTATGAAGGTGTATAGAAAAAATTTATAAAAAAGAGAATCTATTATGCGTTCAACTCTCATACATAATCTATTCACAAACCGCCAATACCTTATGCATTTTAACAAACTTTTTCTCCTAATGATGAGCACATTTCACAGATTTCCATGAACTTCTCAAACCAATGACGTTTTTTCTATTCACATAAATGAACACAACATATTTTCAATAAATCGAGAATTGTTTTTGAGCTTAAACAACCTTAATTTTATGAAAATAACGAACAAACATACGAGAAAACACACAATCACTCAATAACGAATTCTAAGAAAAATGAATCAACTTATGGGGCTAAGAAGTCCAAAATTCTTAAAATCAACAAACACAATCCACAAAAAAGATTCACGTATGAATTCGGAGTTCATTTAACTACCTTATGGAGCTAAAATAGCTTCAACAAAAACCGAATTCCACATACCAACCTACTTATGAAATCAAATTATGTAATTCAACCAATTCAACAACAATTTGCTCAATAATTGAAGAAAAACTAGTTTGAATTAATTCTCATTCATAAGGGATTTAATATAGACATAAAAAAAACATAAAAGAACACCAACCATTTTTTTAGAATTTTATGAAATTAACATAAACAAAGTAAAAAAGTGTATATTAGAATTAAAAAACAACTTTTACAAAGAAATTGGAGAAAAAAAAGAAATTGACGAATATAGGGTTACCAATTGTTGAAGAAAATGAAGAAATTGAATAATTGAAGCTTGGAGGAACCATGAACGGTGTTGGAGACCGCCGCCTATCGTCGACCGGAGCTACTGCCGCCGTCGCTGGTTGTCGCCTCCTCCACCGCCCACCGCCATCGGAGCTGCGTAGATAGCAGCGGCTAGCCGCTGCTTTATTCTCGGTGATTCCCCTCTGCTTCCCCCCTTTTTCAGTTGCAATTGCACTCCAATTTATAGCAAGGAGATTTCTTCCCGTTGAGAATTGATTGTCGCGCAATTGATGGAGCCGAACGTTGGAACGTTGAATGTTTCTCCGGTTTTACTCCTTGAAGGAGAAACGGAGACTTCCTTTTCCGTTTGCGTGAAAGTAAAGTGGAGGGAGGAAAGGTTTTCGGCTAATTCTTTGATGTTGGGTTTGGGCTCTGGCCCAAAATCTTTATCTTCTTCCCAAATTTGATCTGCACTTTGGTCTTTTGCTACATTTTTCTCCAAAAAATAAGATATCTGATAATTTGGGTTAGGAAAAATAAAATAAAAATAAAAGAATGTAAAAAAATGATTAAAAACCTACTATTTATGAAAGAAAATTAAAAGATTGTAAAAATGAAAATTAAAATAAAACTAAGCTAAACAAATGAAAATTAAACAATTAAATACTAAAAATACCGAAAAAAGAATAAAAAATACTAACCCAAACCCGACTTATCAAATACCCTCACACTTAAGAGTTGAACGTCCTCGTTCAAAAGACCAAAAGAAACCAAACTATTTATCATTATCAAGAAAAACAAAGTGCACCTTACAAACACGCTCCTAAAGACTTTATGCCCAAAATTTTTTTTTTAAAACAAAGTGGGTTACAAATACTATAAAAATATAGAACTAAATAATGGATTGTTTGGGTTCTAAAAAAAAATGCTCTAAAGTTGCCACAAAAAAGTTTCCTAAGGAGATCCTATGGTTCAGAAAGGCTCAATGGCAACGGTAGCAAAAAAAATTTTTTAAAAAAAAAGCCTAACAGATTAAAAACACATACAATTTTCTAAAAAAATTTAAATGGTCTTAAAACTGGTTTCTTTTCGATATTAAGAATTTTATATCCAACAATGGTTGATAAAAACAGCATCTAGATAGTATGTGGATGACCAGTTCTAGGAAAAAAAATCTAAAGGATATCTAGAAGTATTTCAAACTTTTTAAGGTCATTTTTTACCAAGAAAATGGGCTTAAGATTCAAGACGAGCTTGCAAAGAAACATTTGTTATCTTTCAGAATAAAGCTCAAGAAAAAAAATTGAGGTATTTGGGTAAATTTTAAAAACAATGCTCTAAATAGGAAATATGCAACTAAGAATAACCAAAATATTTGGAACCAAAACCTATTAAAAAAAAAACATTGCCCAAAAATATACACCCCCAAACAAACGAAGTAAACATGAGAACCTCCCCCCACACTTAAATCATGCATAGTCCTCAATGCATCTAAATGATATGCAATTGAGAATACAACGATATAACCAAGAGAAAAAGCTAAGAGAGAAGAGGATGAGGAGTAACGCAACAACCAAAAGAATGGAATGGGAATGATAATTTAAAAAAGTATACGCGGCATCATTTCATCATTTTTCCCTCCTTTAAGTGCTCGATGGACCTAAAATCTACAAAAAGAAGGCTAAGACCAAGTATTTTAGCGTTGAAGAACAAAAAGTCAGATTTCAAATACATAGATTTTTTTCTAATTTAGCACATATAAGCCGTGAAAAGTGTAGAATTTTCATTCTACACTCAAAAAAACAAGCTTACAAAGTGCATGTTTTCAGTTTATAGCCCAAAAATCAAATTGAGAAGTGCAGAATTTTTCCATTGGTACTCAAAAATCAGCCTTAAAAGTGCAGAATTTTTTCAATTTTCATCTCATAAATGATCAAATATAAACACAGAAGGCTTAAGAAAATTGAAATTTAATAGTATACCAACACCCGGGGACCAAGAATCACTGTTTCAAAACAGATTTGCACCCAACTGTGCAGAATTTTACTCCAAAGATAGATGCTCCAACCTAGGACTTGACAAGTCTTGCATTCTCACTCAAAGGTATGGTTAGAAGCATAAATGAAGTAAAAAAAATATTTAAACTCAAATAACAAGCAACACACTTTTTTTCAATATTAAATTTTTTGGGTTTTTCAAAAATTAAAGAAAAAATGATGCTATACAATTACATCAATATGGAAGGGAAAAAAAACAATAAAAGTAAGTTGGTTATTAAAAGAAAGAGAATAAAAACCATATTAACCATCAAAAGGGGAAGAAAAAAAATACAACAACAAGAAGTTAAAGAAGTTAAAGTTAGAAGTAAGCATAAGAAATTCAAAGAAAAACTAAAAAAATGATTTAAAATATTAGTGGGTCATGTTAGAAAAAAACAAGAGAAAAAGTGCAACAATAACTAAAAGTTAGAAGTAAAAGAACCCTTTTTCAAAGAACAATACAATAAAAAAAACTTAAAAAGAAAGTGGGTTGCCTCCCATAAGCCGCCCGATTTAAAGTCTTTGGCTAGACACAGTTTACTACTTGCAAACATATATTCAAATAAACCATGAAGTAGTAAAGAGAAGTAAAAGTGTTTCTTTAAAACACCCCAAAAAAGAGTGTAAAATTAAGAATCCAACTTTTGTTTCCAACTTCTATAAATAATAACACTTGAAGCTTAGTTGGGAAACAAAATTCAGATTCTATGTGCAAAATTTAAACTTCAAATCAGTTTTTAGAACGTAAGTTTCTGCATTTTTGCACTTTTAGAGCAACACGGAGCATATATCGATCAAGACAAGAATGAAAATTCATGCTAAATACTCCCACATTAGATCCCATGCAAGTTCTCGACAAATAGAGTTCATAATTCAACAAATAGGCATCTAGGAACTCAAATTCAGCATGAAAATCAAGCAAAGATGTTGCAGATTTTTCCACAAAAACAGCAGTGTAGGTCTGAATTTTAGCAAATTCAGCTTCTAAACCAAAAAATCAGCATATAAACATCATGATATGCTTCTAAATATTGTCCCCAAGCAAAATATAGCAATCATGGTTCATATTTGAAGCAAAGGAGCACTCGAAGGAACAAAAATCAACACATATGCTAAGTAAAAAGTGCAGATTTTTAGAAAAATCAGCAACTTTAAATCCAATTTACTTGCAATTTTAGATTGAAGTGCATCCAAATCAGCGAATATAGCATGGATCAACAAAAACCAACAAGCTAAATGCATAAAATAATGTTCAAAATGCAGATTTTCCAAGAAACGGTACCGGAATCTCAGAAAATAGCACATTGACAATCAAAGTTAAGCACAAATGCAAACAAACTTGTTGATTTCAGTTTGCTCTCATAAGCGTATCCTCAATTCTACTAAAAGGCATGTAAAAAAAATTAAAACTCAAGAAGAGAGGCTAATACGGCATGCTTACTAACAAAAAGAAACAAAGAACACAATGGCATACTAAAGTGATTTCATACAAAACTTTCCCCAAAATTTGTTGGGGACTTGTCGTGCGGTCCAAAACAAATTAAAAATTTATAAATATCCTTGGAGCCGAACGTGATTTCATACTAAAGTGATTTCATACAAAACTTTCCCCAAAATTGATTGTCGCGCAATTGATGGAGCCGAACGTTGAATGTTTCTCCGGTTTTACTCCTTGAAGGAGAAACGGAGACTTCCTTTTCCGTTTGCGTGAAAGTAAAGTGGAGGGAGGAAAGGTTTTCGGCTGATTCTTTGATGTTGGGTTTGGGCCCTGGCCCAAAATCTTTATCTTCTTCCCAAATTTGATCTGCACTTTGGTCTTTTGCTACATTTTTCTCCAAAAAATAAGATATCTGATAATTTAGGTTAGGAAAAATAAAATAAAAATAAAAGAATGTAAAAAAAAATGATTAAAAACCTACTATTTATGAAAGAAAATTAAAAGATTGTAAAAATGAAAATTAAAATAAAACTAAGCTAAATAAATGAAAATTAAACAATTAAATACTAAACATACCGAAAAAGAATAAAAAATACTAACCCAAACCCGACTTATCAGTGCTAGATATCAAGCAAACCCTAAGGAATCACATTTGACTGCCGTCAAACGTATCCTTAAGTATGTGAGAGGCACCTTGACTATGGGACTGTGGTATCCCAAAGGTTCAACATGTACTCTCATGTTGTAGCCGAGACCCGGGGTAGTCTAGGATATCAACTTAAGAAGAGAAAGAAGAAGAGAAAGATGTAGAAATATAGGGGAGGCTGAATTCAGGAGAGAACAAAGGAGAGTGAAAGAAGCATTTATCAAGTGAATAATAAGAGGAATCACACACACTTATCTTCACTCGGGTTAAACTCTAGTATTTAAATAAGGAATCACTCAACTTATTTAATATATCTAGAACCTAAATCTCCCACTTAAGAGAACCACTCTTAAGATATAGAATTAGGATTTAATATATAGAATTTAGAGAGAGGCTGCGCAAGAAACTTATATTATCACGATATATTTTTACAAGCTGATCAATACAATGAACCAGGGCTGAAATATATAGGCCATGGAATGGAGAAACAATACAACAAACATGATTACATGATAAATAAAATACAACAAAGGAAACTTCCCACTTCTTTCCTACAAAATAAAACAAATGTTGTGCATGTGTTAATATCCCAAATGAGTTGAATTCAAGCCTAATGATCAGGGATTTGGCATGTATTTTGGGTGGTCTTAATGTATGATTTTCATCCTTAAGGTGGGGGAATAAAGGAAACAACATGGCTTGACTTTTAGTGAGTAATAGGACAACATATTACTATTCAATCAAAGACTTTTTGGGCAGGCACATGGATGAGGGATTAAGCTTTGTTTTGTATTGTAAAAGTCTTTGATTTTGTTGAATAATAACATGGGAATTTCGTCCATATATAGTGGGAATGATATGTAGCCAAGTGTGTTCCTAAATGACAAAACCTTTACTGTTAAATCAAAGACCACTTTGGTTTCTAAGTTTAGAGACAGGTGCTAATCGAGTATCTCTTACTGATAATCGATTAACAAGGTGTGTCTGCTAAACCAAGAATTTTCAGAGGTATCCAGTAGTCGATTGACACTTCAAGATTAATCGATTAACAAGGACTCGCTTCCAAACTGGATATCTTCAGAGATGAGTGATAATCGATTTTCAACTGGGAGATAATCGATTATGGAGCATTGCAGGAATACGTTAGAAGAATTCAGAGGGAAGCAATAGTCGATTATCTATGTTAGATAATCGATTATCATGTCAAAAAAACAAACAAAGGTTTTATTTTGCCTTTTGTTGTTCACCTTCGGCCTAGGCGTAGTAATGAATAACAGACTTTGTTTTGGGCAGATAAAATAATGTTGGATGTTGTGGGAGAGGGTTTGTGGGTTATGGTTTGGCTTAGGGGGGGTTTTGGGCAGCAAAGGTTATTGGTTGGGCTTTTTGATGGGAAAAAGGAATGAATTCCACCCAATAAGTATTATAAACTTAAGCATTAACTCCTGATTTTGCTTATCCTTTGGTGATGCATGGTGGGGTACAACATCTCATTGGGTATTCTGATTCTGACTTTGCCGGGTGCAAAATGGATAAAAAAAGTACTAGTGGAACCTGTCATCTTTTTGGATGTTCACTTGTTTCTTGGTTTAGTAAGAAACAAGTTAATTTTGCTTTGTCCACCGCTGAGGCTGAATATGTCACTGTGGAAAGTTGTTGCGCCCAGATTCTTTGGATGAAACAACAACTTTTGGATTATAGCCTTGTACTTGATCATATTCCTTTGAGATGTGATAATATGAGTGCTATAAATATTTCGAAGAATCTAGTTCATCACTCTCGTAGAAAGCATATTGATATACGACATCACTTTATTAGAGACCATGTCCAAAAGGGTGATGTAGACATTGAATTTGTCGATACAACTAATCAGTTGGCCGACATTTTGACTAAACCTTTGGATCGTGAGAATTTTTGTCGTATTAGAAATGCATTAGGAATTATTGCCATTACTTAAGTTAATGTTCTTTATTTTTATTTATTTTATACTAACTTAGGCATCGGAGTGGCCTTAATTTTTTTTTGCAGGTTCTCACTCATCCACTCCTCTCTCTCACTCCATAGGAAGCATTTATTAACGGGGAATTTTATATTGCTTTTGGCTATTTGAAGACTTACAAAGGACTGCTTAACTCTAGTGTTTTATTCGAATAGTTTTTTAGAACTATTCGAATAAGTGTGTTCCTTACAGATTCCAGTACTGCGCCTAAACTTGATCTATTCGAATAATTGGGTAACTATTCGAATAAGTTAAATTCTAGTGTTGCGGCTCAACATGCGTTATTCGAATAAGTGAGGACCTATTCGAATAACTGAGATTAGATCTGATATTTTTAAAAGGTCATTTATTCGGTCAAAGCTCCTTAGGCTAAAATCGCCAGTCCTCTCTCTCTCACCTGGCGATACTCTAAGAACCCTAGTCGCGGTTTCTTCTTCACAGACGCAACTACTTCATCGTCGTCGCCAAGCTCTCCTCCAACAATTCCATGGCGTCAAGGACGAAGAGGAAGACCATTCGGCCACCTGCTTCATCCTCTCTCACGAGTTCCTCATCTCAGCCGCAATCTACACAAGAAATCCCAAGGTTTGAATTCGCTATTAATCCTCGAATTTTCTTTGAAAAGAAGGAAGCTTTGGATTTCTTTCATGATAATGTTCTTCCTCGCAAAATCATAACCCCTCGTTTTGTTGATCTTGTTGATTTTGAGCGAGATAATTTTTATGAAATGGTTTTATCTAAGCTTCGTTCTTTGGGGTTGATTAATGTTGTGACAATTCATGAATCCCATATCCCGGTTAATCATATTGAAGTTTTCTACTCCGATATGACTTTCAAGCGTAGAAATCATCAATATGTGATTATTTCTAAGTTTTGTGGTAAAGAGGTTACTATTTCTAGTGGTGAATTGAATGAGATGTTTGGCATGGAGAATAGTAACAAGGAGCTCACTACCCAAAATA